AAATATCCTTTTTCAATATACTTGTCTATAAGCATTGCTTGAGAACGCAGAGTTGTGATAAGAGCAGATAATGTTTGTATAGAGAAGGTGAAAAAAGGAGATTTCTGCCAAAGTTCAATCCTATTAGCTAGTTGCCTAAAAACAGTAGTTTTACCATCATCAAAAATAATTGCATTACCAAGTTTATTTGGACTAAACTGTTGTTTTGAATTTGAAACAGTCCACCATCTTTGAAAAATACTTAAAAAACCAGAAATGTCATTTCTTTCAGGAAAATAACTTTTAAAACTTGCAATTGTTGCTTTTTATTACCAGTTTTAAAACTTGCACTTTTTTTTTATTACCAGGTTAAAGACTTTCATTTGAATTTTTTGAGTCTTTTTTCAAACTACCTTGAAGTTGTTCATCTTTAGAATGTAGAGGATGAAAATCTTCCCAAGTTATTTAACCAGCTAGAAAATTATAGACATCATGTTTTATATTATAATTAAATGATGGAAAGACAAATGTTTTGCAGTGTGCTAAATTGTTTCTAATATTTTTAACAATATGAACAGAATCAAGATATAAGTATGTTTTAATATTTCGACTATCAGGATGATAAATAAAAAAAATTAAATGTTTACCAAATTTCGAATGAATTAAATCAAATGCATTTACATTTGCTGGATGATTATCAGTAACAACTCCTCGAATTTTAAAACCAGATAAAGAAAGAGAACTAATAAAATCTGATATTTGCTCTGAATGCCATTTACCACTAATGGTAACTTCGGGTACTGCTTTTACGATTTAAGAAATATATTTCTTTAAACTAACAATCATAAATGCAACAACTCCTTTGTACAGAATACCATTGTCATCTGCACCCACATAGACACCACTACAATATTGTGCTTATTTCTGAAGATAAAATTCATCTACAATTAGTAATTTATCTTCATGTATTAAACCCTTCTCACGAAGTGTTTTAACAGCCTTTATTGAATCAACTCCACCTTGTTTAATTTTATTTAATAAATACATTGAATGTAATGGTAAAGATTAAAGTAAATTTCATAAGCTTGTTTAGATGTATATCTTATTAATAAAGCGTGTCTGATCATATCTGCAAAATATTGTGATTAACCTTTTGCTTTATAGTATATTCTGCTATTTATTTCCTCAAGAAGTATATTTCTATTGAATGAAGCTATGATTTTTATGTACGATGCAAGATTTTTTAACATACTCAAACTAATTAAATTGCCGTTATGACTTTTAGTTAACCATAGAGGAAGTAGAACTTTATTTCCTTTGTATTGCAAAGCTACACATACACGATTATCAACTTTCATTGATTCAAGAACAGAAGGAAAACGCCCTATAATATATATATATATATATATATATATATATATATATATATATATATATATATATATATATATATATATATGTATATATATATATATATATATATATATATATATATATATATATATATATATATATATATATATATATATATATATATATATATATATAACACACACATTTATTGTTTTTTTTAATATTGTACTGTCATTAATTTCTTATTATTGTTATAAATTAATATTATTGCTTGCGCAATAGGCCTCTTAGAATCGGCCTCTAAAATGTAACATACACAGGCGTGTAATATAGTAGGGCATGGTTATTGTGCCAATAAAAAAGATATGATGCAATTACGACAAATTATTATAGTTTTTATTTTAAGGCAAAAAACTTTCAGACATCATTACTTTTTTAAAATTCGCTTTAATATTAATATTATTTAGTGATCTATTGGAGTATTTTAAGACTATTATTTAAAAAAGATTTAAAAGTATTTTAAAAAATAATTAGGAGTTTCAAAAAAGACCCGGTTTTATTCATAGTTAATTCTGCATTTAATTTAATAGATTTAATAGTTAAGTTAATATTCAGGTCTGAAAATATACTTTTTAATAGCTAACGTCACTCAACAAAGCCGTTACAACTTCCGTATAAATTAAACTTAAAAACCAGGTTGACGACACATTTAAACACTTAACAAACTCTTGTTATTATGCAAAATGCAAATAGCTGAAAATAATAAGAATATAAGTATAAGTTTTTTCTTGATTATATAATATATATGGAAATTTCAAATTATGTGAATAAATTTTTTTTGATTGCTATTCGAAGTATAATCGGTATTTAAAAAAACATTTTTTTTTTAAACTTGAAATTTGCATATATATTAAATGCAAATTTCTGAGTCAACTAAGTAAGAATTGCTTCATTGTCAAAATAGCAGTTTCCGGGCATAATGACGCTTGTTGCTGTTTGAGGAAAAAAATTCAACTCAGTTTCTTTATTAGTTGCGGTTTCTTACATAAAGCTTCTTTTTTCCATTCACATTCATTTAAAGAAAAGGTTGTTAATTTTAGATGGCAGAATATTAAGTCACTTAAAATTCTGCTGATTCCTCTTCTTTTATTAAACATTGGACCAAATAAAGCATGAAGACATTTAAATGATTGAATTTACCCGTACTTTTATCATGAGCCTTAACTATTCACGCAGTTTGAACATCAGGAATGTTCCATATGTATTCAGAAGGTGGTGTTTTCAAAAACATACCAAAGTTTTTTTGTTGTCGGCAAAATAATTGACGAATGTTTTTTTATACACCTCAACGTCTTCTCTTTCATACCCATTAACAATCGGACGAGCTTTGTTATTTGACTAAAAATTTCCTAAGCTTTTGATTGCTTTATAGATACCACTATATTATTATATATATATTTTTTTTTTTCGGTTAGTTTTAAGAAAACTAATTGATTTTGATCCTTCTAAATTAAGTAATAAAGAAATCAGTAAATTTTCAAATCGATATTCTTGTCGACAATGCAAAAAAGTATGAAAAAGCGTTCTGAAATGTAAAAAATGCTTTTAATGTTAAAATTATTCGGTGAATTATATTGAGTATTTTAAGACTTAAATAATTTTGAATTTTACATCTAATAAATGTTATCAAGGCCAAAAAACTATAAAATGGTCTTTTACAGCTTTTTGACCTTATAATATAAGCTATATTATTTTGTTAAATAATTGCTTCATAGTGGCACAATTACCCTCATTTTAAACCTATTTTAAATATTTTTTGAAAATTTCCAAAGATGCCCTGACAGCCACGAAGAAAAATATATTAAATAATTACTTTTTCAAGTAATTAAAGTAATTTTTAAAGAAAAAAAAATAAAAATAAAAATTACATTAAAAAGAATTTAATCGCAATTTTTTTTATTACTAATTCAATTTAACAGGTTTTAGGCAATAAAATTAAAAATAATTTTTTTTATGTGAAAATCGCATCATAACTTTTTTCCTAGACCATTGCAGCCATTCTAAATTATTTTTAAATTTTTTATAAATGTCTAGCGATCCTGGATAGACACAAGGTGAGCCACTGCCTTAAAACTACTATTCTATATAATTATTTAAAAAATGCATGCCTTTTTTTTTTTTTTTTTTTTTTAACGCAACTTCTAAAGAACAAATAAAAAACAAATTGAAAACAAAAAAAAAAATATAATAAGTGATATGTTTTTTTTGGAGAAAAGATTTTTTATGGATTTCTATTAGGGACCTTTATAAATCGAACCGCGGGTAAGAATTTTTTATTATCAACAGATTTGGAACGGCAACCATATAATTAACTAGAAAAACAAAAAATTATAAAATTTTGTTTAATATGTGAATTTATGATGCTGTGCACACTACTGAGAAATCATTATATAATTTACATATCTTATTAAGATCTTAAACTTCTTACAAATCTTACTAAGATATTGTACGTAAACATACAAATCTTAATAAGTTTTTATTAGTTTTCTTAAACGTCTTGCAAGCCTTACTAATCTTATTAAGGTTCTTAATAAAAAATCTTGTTGAGATTTGTAAGATTTGTCGCTCTGGGTAGTATTAAAAATGTATTAGCTCCTGATAGAGCTGTTTATAATACTGGCAATTAGTTTTATTTATAATTTTATATAGAAATATAATTAATTGACTCACCTTTATAATCTTAATTTCTTTTGATTTATTTAATAATTTCTTACACTTTTAAATAAATGTTTCCTATTTTTTATCTAAGACTGATGAGGGTTAAGAAAAAAAAAAGATTCTTGAATAGTTAAAAAATAATTCTTAGCCTGAAAAGGCTAAGAATTATCTTTTAATTATTCAAGAGTTTTTACCACGTAAAGCATCTGTCATTAGTCGTGAAAATTTTTTTTTGAGCAAGGTAATGCTAGCGTTCATAAAGCGAAAATAGTAAAAGATTATTTCAACAACAGTAAAACTGAAATCTTGAGGTTGCCAGCTAGATCTCCAGACTTGATATTATTTGAGAATGCTTTGGCACAGTTGTCCCGTATAGTGTTTGAAAGTGCTAAACAATATAGTTCACTAGTTGACTTAAAATCATCAATTGCATCTGCATAGGATGCAATTGATATTAAGTTTATAAAAACGTTACATAATTCTTTATCTTCTAGAATTATTAAAGTGATTTAAAAAAATTGTCAAAGTACCACTATTTATTTTTTAAAATTGAGACATCTTTTTTTATAAAAGATAATTTGTATAAACTTTTTCCAAAAATTTATATAAATTATTTTTTATAAAAAATGTCTTCTAATTTTGTCACACTAGAAAACCAGTTTATTTTTGATAAAATACGAGTTACATTTAATTTAATTTTTTAAAATGTTGTTTTGTCATGTAAACACTTTGCGCTCATTTACTATAAAAATTAGTTTTTAAATATAAATGTTTATTTGAGTTTTATAAATTTTTTGGGTGTTTTATCAATATGTTGCGTGTACACTTTTAATAATTTGTAAGACATTTTGGAAATATAAGCAGAATATAGGACTTTTATAAATTTTACAGAATGATAGAGACCTTTAAATAATATATTTATTGCCAAAAATTAAAATTCAATATCTTACCATAAACAAGAAGTTTAAAACTGTATATTGATTGGAGTTGATCGTTGTAAAAATCTATGTTGAAAAGTAAATTATTGCGCCGAAGATACAAAATAGGAAAGTTTGTTGATCGTAACAAAACATATGAATCGTAATAACTTTGATGGATATAAAATTGTTGATCACCTAATATGCTGATTACTTCAGTTAAAGTATGGAGTCTTAGAACAAAACTATAATGGCGAAGGTATTTGGTTTTGTCTGCTACATATTGGAACGAAACTCCATCTCCATATACACCTACATGTTAAAAAACAAACAAACATATAATTTAAAAAAAAGTAACAGCAATGTTGTAACATTCTGCTGGTTACAAAATAATTACTTTCTATATTATATGTTATTCAAGAAACAACAGAATTTTTGAATATCACATTTTGCTAACTTTAAAGACTTTAGTATAATTATAACTTATAAAATAACATGCATAAGAAACTTAATTTTTTGACATATTCTTAATGAAAAAGCAAATGCTAATGTTGCTATGCATTGTATATACTGTTTCCATAACCCAAGATAATTCAAGAAGACGTAAGTTAGAGGACTTAGTAAGAAAGTTGTCAAATATGATTAAAAGAAGATATTGAATTTAGAATATTGAAAAACTCTAAAACATCTTGGTTTTGTATTTCATGTAGGGAAAAATTTTTTCCATTCAGTACTTTATCAGATAAGGAGCTGCACCTGCAAACAATAAATGATAAAGTGATTCATATTAATGAATTCGAAAACAACATATCATCTTTCCCAAACACCGTACAGCCTAATCTTTATAATGAACTTAATGATTTTATTTCCCATCAACTTAATAACATTAATGACAATGACGTAAACCTCGAAGAATACCCTATTAATTGTAAATATATGGACATAGAAAGTTTTAACTCTTCTAACATTGACAAAAATAATTTTTCTCTTTTTCATTTAAATATTGCTTCTCTTGTTAAAAATTTTGACGAATTAAACTCACTTTTATCTCTTATTAATCATAAATTCAGTATTATTGGCATAACTGAAACTAAACTAAAACATGACATTTTACCAACTATCCCATTAAATCTTACCGGTTATGTTTATGAGCACACTCCAACAAAATCTTATTTTGGAGGAGCTTTACTTTATATATCGAATACATTAATTTATAAACTTCGATATGATCTTAATATGCTTAAACCGAAACTTTTAGAATCTGTGTTTGTGGAAATCATAATTCCTAAATAATCAAACATCATTATTGGCTGTATTTATCGCCATCCTAGTATGGATATTTCAGAATTTATGAAATCATATTTAATTCCACTTTTTGAAAAGCAATCTATGGAAAAAAAACCAAAACTACTTTTTTAATAGGCGATTTTAAAGTCGATATTTTATTAGCAAACTCAGATAATTCTGTCTCTGAATTTTTAGACACTATTGCTTTAAATAACTTTCTTCCCTTTATTTCATTGCCAACAAGAATCACAAATCACTTCAAAACTCTAATTGATAACATATTTTCTAATGCAACTTCTACAAATATATTTGCCGGTAATTTTACTTCTACGGTATCAGATCATTTGCCCCAATTTTTAATACATCCTCTTTGTAGAACCAAAATTAATTCTCGTAAAAACTGCATTTTTCGTCGAAATCTAAAACAAATAAATTGCGTCGAGTTATGTAGTGATTTCTCAAAAATTAGCTGGATTAATGTAATTAATGTCAACAAAGGTAAGACTAATAAGTCATTTGAAGAGTTTTTCTCAAGTTTCAATTCTCTTTTAGATAAACATGCACCATTGAAAAAAGTCAGCAATCGTTGCTTATCAAGGGGTCTCAAACCTTGGATAACACGAGGAATCTTGACTTCTATTAAAATGCGAAATAAAATATTAAAAAAATTTCTTAAAGCAAAGAATCCTAATAACAAACTCAATCTAGAAAAATCTTATAAAGCAAATAGAAACTTACTTGTTACTCTCACCCGTCGTAGTAAAAAGAACCATTACTCTAAGTTCTTCTCTGACAATGCCAAAAATTTGAAATCTACATGGAATGGTATTAAGAACCTTTTAAACATTAGTTCGAGAGTTAACTCATCTCCTTCATGCTTATCTTCTACCAACTCCATGATACACGACCCCATTAAAATTTCGGAATCTTTTAATTCATTTTTTGTTTCAGTTCCGGAAGATTTACAGAATAAGATCCACTCATCCAATACTGACTTTAATAAATATCTTAAAAATTCTAATCTTAATTCAATGTTCATAAAACCTCAGACAAAAACGAAGTATTTTCGATTATTCATTCTCTTAATGACAGCAAGGCTTCTGGACCTAACAGCATTCCAATACCTATTTTTAAAGCTCTTGCAAATGATATCTCTCCTGTACTTTCTGAACTATTTAATCTGTCATTCACAACCGGTGTATTCCCTGATATTTTAAAAACTGCTTCTGTTATCCCAATTCATAAAAAAGACTCAAAACTTGAACGTAATAACTACAGACCAATTTCATTATTATCAAATGTCAGCAAACTTTTAGAAAAACTAATGTATTCTCGTATTTACAACTTTTTAAATAATTCTGCTTGTTTTCATATTCGACAATTTGGGTTTCGCTCAAATCACTCCACTTCTCACGCTCTTATTAGCATTACTGAAATGATTCGTGGTGCAATTGACAGTGGTTCTTTTGCTTGTGGTGTATTCATAGATCTTCAAAAAGCTTTTGATACGGTTGATCACAACATTCTAATAAAAAAGTTAAACTACTACGGAATACGTGGTATTGCTAATCATTGGTTTTCTTCATATATTACGGATCGCACTCAGTTTGTTTCAATTAATGGATTTGAATCCACACATAAAGTTATTAAATATGGCGTTCCACAAGGTTCCGTTCTTGGACCGTTGTTGTTCTTATTATATATAAATGATTTATCTTGTTCGTTAAAAAATTCTATGATACATCATTATGCTGACGATACCAATCTTTTATATATCAACAAATCCCTCACGACTATTTGTAAAAAAGTTAATCAAGATCTTCATCGCTTATGTAACTGGTTAAATAGTAACCGTATTTCCTTGAATGTCAATAAAACTGAATACATTATTTTTCATTCCCCTCAAAAAACTATTGATCATATTAAAATTAAAATTAACGGTAAAAAACTTTTTCCATCAAAATATATAAAGTATCTTGGAATATATCTTGATGAAAACCTATCTTGGTATAATCAAGTGTATCATCTAAAAAAAAAACTTACACGAGCTAACAGTATGCTTTCTCTAATTCGTTACTATGTTCCTATCCAAACTCTTCGAATGATTTATTTTTCTTTATTCTCTTCTCACCTTTGCTATTGTTGTATTGTTTGGGGTCAAAAAAGAAACTTTTTACTTAACAACATTGCTAGTGTACAACGCGCATCTATTAGAATAATGACGTTTTCCCCAATGAGATCTGATATCGAAAAAAAATTTTCTGAACTAAAAATCCTAAAACTCCATAATCTTGTAAAGTTTTACAATTGTCTTTTTGTGTTTGACTTTCTCCAAAATAAACTACCAAGCCCTTTTTCAAATTTTTTTATTAAAACAAACGAAGTTCATAATCATCACACCAGGAATACAGAAAATAGTAAGCTATACTATTCTTTTTTCAGCACAATCAAATATGGTAAGTTTTCCATAAAACAACAATGTATCTATCAATAGAACCAGTATATTCCTGCATTAACAAAAAAGTCTAAGAAAAAATATCCACTTGTTACGAATTTTTTACTGCTCAACAGAATTCAATTTAAAAATATATTGTTGGAGTGTATTTCTTTATAATTTCTCTCTGTACTATAGTTGTCTTGTGGTTTGATTTTTATTTTATTTATCATTTACCAATCTTATATTTATTTATTATTGTGTTATTAATGTTACATTTTATGTTATTATTATATCTAATTATCATCTATGATTTGTACATACAATTTATATTGTATTATAATATTCTTAATATTATTGGTACTTTATTGTTATTGTTATTATTTTGTATTATTACTATTATTATTACATATATTATTATTATTTGTTTAACAATCTTTTCTTCTTTTCTTTATTATTTATATATACAGATATTAAGTTTTTCCTTTTTTTTTTTTTTTTTTTGTTTTTTTTGTTTTTTTTTTTGTTTACTTCAGTTTCCTTTTTTTTTTTTTTCTTTCTATTTATTTATTTTTTCGTGAAATTTTTATGTTTTTTAGGTGTCACTCCATTGACTAGTTTGTAACTATATGAGTGACACCTAACCAATTATATTAATTTACGATGAAATTTGTAAATTTTATTGATATGGTTGAATAAAAAAAAAAAAAAAAAAAAAAAAAAAAGAGTATTATCAAAATTACAATCATAATTAGAAGTATAAAACTGATTTTTTTTTAATTAAAAATCATTAGCCGCTTCAAAAATCAAGATGTTTGAGAGGAGAAAATACATTTAAGATTAGTGTGTAGCAATCTAAAATTAAGGAGATATTTTAAGTAAGGAAGATATAGCTGCATATTTATTAATTTAAATGAAAAACAACACAGCAGAAACTAAAAAAATGAATCTACTCTCAGCTATTCTATTTTAAAAAATTCTAAGGTAGTATTTAGACAGAGCATTACTCTAACCTAGTAAGTGAATTTTTAATAAAAAGCTTATCTTTTTTCATTTTTTATTATTTTCACTTGCAAAATTGCAACCTTTTAAGTAACTGCAATTTTTATAATATACCAAACAACTTTATACTAGAATTCTATAAAGTAAAATGATAATCATTTTGCAAAAACAATTTGTATAGGTACCATTTAAGTTTTTAAAAAACAGAAAAATTATTTATTGCAGAGCAATAATAAAATCTTATTTGCAGTAAAATGAAGTAATGTTGTAGTGATAGAGTTTATGCTTGTATAAAAAGATTTTTAACTTGATGCACACAACACCCCTGGTAGAACTTCTCAAATTGTTTCTCTACGCAGTGCAGAACTGTAGGTGCAGGTCAGATTTTGGGAAGACTTCTAACCACAACACTGTTGCAGCGTTTTTAAAAACTTGTTCAGAATTAAAAAGATAAAAAAGGGTTGTAATTGCAGCTTAGTATATAATAAAGATTTAAAAATGCTGTTTATTGAAGAACAAATAATAATAAAAAAAAACCTTAGATGGTAACAGCGTTGGATTTTTATATGTTCTATAAGTTCTTGAAATCATCTACAAAAAGTTTGTATTTTAGTCTTTTTAGAATGTTTCTAAAGTGGTTGAGTTAGGTTTGTTTATAGACAAGCCATTCTATATTCAAGGTGCAGTCATGGAGATAGATTTTGATACTAGCAATGTTTTTGATTGCAATGAGTAAGTTACCAACGGTCTGATGATCTTGTGTTTTGTTATGAAGTTCGGGTTTCAAGAAGTTTCAATCGATATGCAGGAGACTTGGTTTTTAAAGTATTTTATAAAATTGGTGACCAATAAAAGAGATTTTAGCAACTTTTTGATTTTAAATAGAAAGGAGAATAAGAGACAACGCGAGATAAGCTATTTTGAGTACGTGTGAGATTTTTAAGATTTTTTTTGTAAGAACCTGATAAAAGAAAAGTGTTGAACCTAGGGTGACACCTAGAATTCCTACCAAGTTCGCTTTAGTTAGTGATGTTACAGAGGATGTTATTTTGAAATCCTTTTTAAATTTTCCAGTTTGTTTCCTGGTCCAAAAAATATAGCTTTAGTTTTGCTTAGGTTGAACAGAAGCCCATTTTCTAAAAATCATTTTGTGACTGCATTAGCACATTTAGTGATTTTGTTATCTTTTTCTGGGTTAATAAAATAATGAAATTAATTATCATTGCCATAATAAGGAAAATTTTTGCCATCTTTAGCTATTATAAGATATACGGTGAAACAAGGATTGAAAATAAAAATGGATCTAATACAATGCCTTTTAAATCTAGATTTTGTTAGGCTTATAAAAACAAAGGATTTTTGAGAGTACAATATAATGTCAGTCATTTTAGTGCAGCATTTGTGACACTAAATTCATATTTTTTACGAGCAATTAGCAGGTTGCTATTGATTTTATTAAACGCTGCAGATATGTCTATAGAAATAAGAATGGCGAATAATGCATCATCAATGTTTAACGGAATATTATTGCATATCTTTAGCAGTGCTGTTTCTGTTTAATAAAGAGACCTAAAACCTGATTGAAAAGGAATAAAGTTTACAGTTGATGTTACATGTGAAAGAAGCCGAGATAAAGCAAGCGTTTTGAGATTTTTAAATATTTTATTAAGATTTGATATAGGGCACCGTAAGTTTAAAAGCTGTTTGTCCTGATTTTTTAAGAATTCGTGTAACTTGAGTAATCTTCAATGAGACTGGGAAAATTCCTGATTTGAATGAGAGTTCTGCGAATTGAGCTATAATTGGAGTAAATAATTCTGAACATTATTTAAGAATGTTTGTTAGAATAATATCTAGTGGCAATGTCTTAGGTTTAAGAGTTATGACTACTCGCAAAAGATCAGTAGAAGTGACTGAACCAAATGATGTAAAAATATCTACACGGGGAGATTGCTCCATAATGAAGTCAAGTTTTGGTATTGTAGCAAGTCTTTTTTGGATATTTCTTTCAATATTTTTAAATTTGCTTGCAAAATATTGACTTATTGTTTTATATTGTGCTTCTGGTATTGTGTGATCAGTTTTAGGATTATTTAAATGAAGTATTTCTTTCGCAATAATCCATATTTCTGCTTGATTTCCATGTGCTGGTATAGTTTTTCTATACAATAACTACATCAGAATTTGTGAATTGCTTTAGATGCCTCTCAGCATGCAACTTGATACAATTTTTTTATCTCGAAAACATCATTTTTTCTATAAAGACGCTTCCAGTTAACGACGAATTCTTTTTTTAATTTTCGCGTTAAAAGATATATATGTATATATATATATATATATATATATATATATATATATATATATATATATATATATATATATATATATATATATATATATATATATATATATATATATATATATATATATATATATATATATATATATATATATATATATATATATATATATATATATATATATATATATATGTATATATATATATATATATATATATATATATATATATATATATATATATATATACATATATATATATATATATATATATATATATATATATATATATATATATATATATATATATATATATATATATATATATATATATATGTATATATATATATATATATATATATATATATATATATGTATATATATATATATATATATATATATATAAATATATATATATATATATATATATATATTATATATATATGTATATAGATATATATATATATATATATATATATATATATATATATATATATATATATATATATATATATATATATATATATATATATATATATATATATATATATATATATATATATATATATATATATATATATATATATATATATATATATATATATATATATATATATATATATATATATATATATATATGTATATATATATATATATATTTATATATATATATATATATATATGTAAATTATGTATATATGTAAAAGCAAAACATATAGTATAAAAAAAATTACCATTCACAAGTAAGAACTTTAGCCCACCACTGCAATTGTAGGTTATAAATTTTTCAGTGGTATTCAAATCCAAATCAAAATAGCAGTTTGGAAGACCATAGGGTTCAATTAAGTACTGAATTTCTAAATTTTAAAAGCATTTGATTTAATCAAAAAGAAAAATAAAAACATTAAAATACTCTAAAAACTTATTATTTTAACTTATAACAACAATGAAAAAAAAAAAAAAAGGTAAAATGTAATAAACATTTATTAGCTTTTATTATATTTATAAAAAATAGAAACAACAACAACAAAAGAAAACAAAACATTTTAATTAGTATTACTTTAGTAATCTTGGAGAACTACATGATAAAGTTTTAATTGGCTGTTATTTGGGTCCTTTGATTGATAATTATTTACTATACCCTTATGATATTTTGAACGTTTAAATTTCTTGATGTATTGACTTTGCTTTTACTTCTTTGTAGTTTACTTTTTCCATTTTGATAAGTTTATACTTATTAAAAGAAAAAATAAACATGTCCAATTAAAATAAAATTGAACGAAGGAGATTAAAATTGCTATCATTTGACATTTATTACATTGCTAAATGATATAGGATTGTTTCAATTATCTATTAAAAATCGGTGCGCAAAAGACAAGTTAAAACAACTTCAAGTCATTCTAAAAAAGAAGATTTTTAGAAAAAAAAAAAAAAGGAAAGACAAAATAATAAAAAATAAGTAGGAAAAAATTATTCTTAAATTACTGAAGATGAACTTTTATATAAAGATTTTGAAACTAAATTTAGTTCTTTGTATTCTGAGAAGGTAAAAACACTTAAAATGTTTTACTAAAAATATTCAAAATGTTGTATTATACAGCCTAAGGTAAATTTGCTGTTTTATTTTAAATAAACAAGAAGTTTTCAAAAATTAATATTAAATAAAATATGCTTGTTGATTTGAAGTGTTTTCTAGACCTGCTGCCGCTTCAACTACATGGGTTAATGATGGATTGAATTTGAAAAAAAATATAAAATTTAGTGTTGACAACCTAAAAATGTTAGAAGCTCAAACAAAAGTCATGATCAAGTTGGAAAATAAGATTTTTAAATTCTTATTTCATGGGAACAGATGTACTTTTTTTAATAATAGTAAAGATGTCGCAAAAATAAAATAAAGAGTAAAAGAATCCAAAAAGTTATTTCAAAGATCTTTTAAGGAATATAGATATTAAATTCAACATATTAACTCAATATATAAATACAGTAAACCAATAATAAAAAGTTTAATACTTATCACTATTCAAAGCAATCGTTTCATAAAAAAAAAGTTTATAAAATTTGTAAACAATATTACTGTGTTTATGCAAAGTTTTATTAAGAAAATATAAAACAGTTTTTAAGAAAATAAAGCGCATTTTTTAAAAAAATTCGAATCTTTTTTGGAGGAAATATAAAACAAGTTTTAAGAAAATGCGAAACATTAAAAAATATATATATAAAACACAAACTTCAAGAAAATATAAAACATTTAATTAGTTTAATTACGTAAATAATTCCGAAACCCTTGGAGTGTATATAGAAAATTAAAAAAAAAGAGTATTATTGAAATAAAATAAATAATAATAAAAAAATAACAACGGTAGTTAGTAGAAGTTAGAACCTTTAAAGGATAGTTTTTAAGTCTATACTTTTCATCATACTATTGATTTTGGAGTAAATGTTTTATACACGTAAATTATCTAGATTTAATATTGTGAATAATGTTTGTTTTATTTTAAGTTTACATTAAGTACAATGAAAAATAGAAAAGCTACTATATCCACATTAAATTAATGCTTAATTTAATCCAGAGAAACATTTTTAGAGGTGATCCACATGCAAACATGTCTTACTATGTTTGCAACTAAAATTCATTATTCAAGCTTTATTTTTGTTGTTTTATTCAATAAATAAAGAATAAGAGATATGAAGAAAAAAAGAAAACAAATAATATTGTAGAAACAATAAGAAAGCCAATTCTTAAAGAAATGAAGTTAAAAGAAATAGCGTAAAAAATTGAAATATCTGTTTCTGCGACACGCTCTATTTCAGGTAAAATCAGTCAATGACTTTGTAGTGATGAAATTGCATCAGTAAAAAGAAAGAAAAGCGCAACTCGTATGATGAGACAATTACATCTGAAAACTAGATTGCTAATTGAACAGGACGAATGTCGTTGAAAAGAATATTAACGTATTTATACCAACAGTAATTAAAGCCGATGGAGTTTACTAAAAAACGAACTACATAATTACCAATTGTCACAAAATGTTGATTTAAGACAATTTTTTTGCCTTTAGTCTTGAGCCAAGAAGGTCTTCCTTTTCCTGTGACAAATCCTAATCTTGAACAAGATTACTTAATTCTGTTTGACTCAATCTGTGTGGCATATCATCTGCTAACACAAAATCAGGATCATATGATGTGGAAAGCTTGTTATCTTCTTTTTCTTCTATTTCTACTTCGTTTCTATCTTCATTATCTGCTTCAAACTCAAAACTTTGTGGTCGAGTAGGAACGGGTAAACTATCCAAATGCGGAAAAGCTCGAATGATGGGTTGAAGATTCGGATATTTAATTGTTCCTATTTTCTTCATTGACAAACCTGCATTAAAAGATGGAGTCAAGCAGAAAAAGCAATTATTTGTATAGTTTTTAAGCTTCCTTTATAGAATAGGAACAGCAAAAGTCAAAGGTTTTTATTTTACTTTTCAACCATTCTCCTAGTGTAACCAAACCAAAAGCTACAGTATATATAAGGAGTCCATAACTTATCCTGGTCCCATACCTTTCTATGAAAGTATTGCTGGTAAGCAGTCTTCACAAGAGTTGTCATAGTTCTTTTCTATAAAGAAAATGTTATTTCACCACAAATTTAACAAAAATTGTCCACCAAATTTACACACTTCCTTGGCATGTTAATTTGTCACATTTTACACTAGTAAATGAAAAAAAATAATAATAATAGATTAGACCAGAAATTTTAGCAAATACACATACCTAATGTCACAAGTTTTAATCTTGAATAAAACGCTATGGATAGTCAAAAAAAATGTTTGAAAACCTTGAAGGAAAATTTTTGTTTTTATTTCTTAAACTAGAGCAAATATGTCGTTTTTAATCTCATTTTTGAATTCAGCAGATGGAAATACAAAAAAAAAAATTACTAATTTTCATTCAAAAACAAAATTAATATTGGGCAGTGTAAGCAGTCGCAGTGCAGTGGTTATCACGCTTGCTTCAGTAGCTAGAGATCAGTGGTTCAACGCCACCTCTGAGCAAGTTTTATAATATCGGTACGAAAAGAGGATTAAACCTTTCAATAACATAATGAAGGTGATAAGACCGTAAAGACTTCTTAGGGCACCTAAAATAAAAACAAACAAACAAACAAAAAAAATTAGCAAAAATAAAATACTACCGGTGGAAATTTTAACTCGAAGAATTACAGTCGTAAGTTTAGAGTGGTAAGATGTTTTTCAATGTTATATAATTTTTATGTAGATATCTATACTCTGAGTATATTTTTAGAAATCTATAGTCCAGATCATTAACATTCCTAACACATAGAAGGTTTTCAAAAATAAAGTGATTTGAGTTAAAGATTCAAAACCATCAAATTTAACAAAGTGAAGGTTTTAAATTTAAATTTCTCATGACTTGGACTGTTTCAATTCTGATAAGGAATACTTTGTTGCTACAGAATATTTGGCAAATCAGAGTCAATCACGAGAGGTAAAACTGTTCAAACAGTATTTAAGCTGTTAAGATTATAATTTAAAAATAAAAAAATGAAGTTGTCGTTTATTTTTTACCCTACACTATAACAAAACTTGTGTAGTTTTTCTATAAAAATAATCAGTACTAATTTCTATTGGCTTTTGAAACAAATGGCGTAGAGAAATAAAGGTTTCTTTAGGCTACCAATTGCGATTTAATACAACATTTTATAGACTTTTTGTAGTTGGAATATAAGGCCATTTGTTTCAAAAGCCATAGAAAATATTGTTATTTTAAATATAGAAAATCTACACAAGTTTTGTATATTTTTTACAGGATCTTTGTAAGAAAAAATGGGAAAAATTGAATAAATAAAGCTAAAAAAATGAATTTATATATTCAATAAATAAAAGAATTAATCAGAAATTGATTATATAAATTCTTATAACATAATTTCATTTAGACACAAAAAAACACTTAGACATAAAACTCGTTTGATGCTTTCTTCTTAGAAATTTATCCACATATATTTTAACGTACTTCCTTACCGTAAGCAATATATAAAACCTTGGAAACAAGTTGTGCATGATCTCTAAAGACATTTAGAATAAGCAAAAAAATCTTTAATAAAGAAAAAAAATCTTTAATAAAGAAAAAAAATCTTTTTAAAGAAAAAAAATCTTTAATTTGTTGCTGGTTCATCTGACTTTATTAAAAACATTTGAGCTCATATTATATTCGAGCATCAATCTTAATTTCAAGAATTTTATTAATTATGTTTATAGTTTGATCACTTTTTTTACTATTTGCAATCTCAAATAATCTTTGCATAAATTTTAAATAGAGAAATTTTTTATGCCCGTGGGGCTGTTCATTAATTACTTCAACAAAATAGGGGGAGGGGAGGTCTGGAAATTTTTGACAATTTTTGAAAAAGGGGAGTATGGTTACTTGTAAATAAAGGAATACAACATGGATTAAAAATATTCATCCTTTGCAGATTACTCTTATCATTAGCAGATGTAAAAGGAAGAATCAAGTTAGTTTAATAGAGTAAAGAGGTCGTATATAAATTTTGTCACGCATATTTTGACCGTTTTATGGACGAACCCAAAGACAAGTTAGAAAAACACAATGTCATCTACTTTTTCATTAAAAATAGATGTCCACCTTTCATTTATAATCCATTCTTCATTGCTAAAAATACGATAGGCACATCTTTGAAAAAAGGGGCGGTGCGAGTTTATTTTAATGGGGAGGGGTTGCCATACGGGTTTTCGCCAAAAACATTTTTAATATATAAAAACAAATTTAAATTGCTGCACAATGTTAAGTTGATAATAAGAGATATTTTCTTTACACAAAACGTCTCTGTTTTATTTTCTGCCATAAATAATAAAGAGTTTGAAAAATAATAATATCTTATAAAATATAAGATATTAATTTGTTGCTCATTCTTACATCAGTTCAATATATGTTCGCTTTTCAATGGTATCTTTATTGTTTGACTTCTTCTGATTTTCATTCTATTAACTTTTGTTCTTCCTAAATTTACTTACACTTTGTCTACAAAGTGGGTGACGATGCTCTATAGTGAGCTCAACTCGTCTTCGCGGGTCTTGGTAGTGTAGCCTCTCTAATACAATCAGCTGGAGGAGGATAAACTACAATACCTTTTCTGTCATAAATGCAGGCAAACTTGTAAAACAGGTATGTAAACAATGGTTTGTTGGTACACAGTGTTCTATTTCTATCTAAATAAATGCAGAATTTTGTAATGAGAAACTTGTTTGTAAAGAATTTTGTAAAGAGAAACCTATATGTTAGGGGGCACCAGTTGTCTGACTTAAAAAGCGACGGAAAGGGGGGCGGTTCTGCCCTTACCTCCACAAGCATTATGGCGAATCCACCATTGCAACTTCAGATAATTTTATTCATATTATTATCAAAGGTTATGAGTTGTTTTCAACAAATCTCTCTTGAGTCTAATTATTCTCTAAAAAACAACACTGTTTTCTATTTTCTCGATCTAAAACCGACTTGCTAGCTGCTGGGACTAAAAGATTCTATTGCGCATTAGATAGAAGCCGCAAAGCGTAAGCTATTGCTTCTGATATAATGAAATCATTTCTTTCTAGCCTTTTTTTTAAAGTTACTCTCGAAGGCTAACACTTTTCTTTCTTTACAGTAATTTCTAGGGTACCACAAACTTCTAATCTTGGTTTTTGTTATTTTTCATCTACTTCCATGATTTTCCAAAATTATAATACATCTAAACTTGTTTAATTTGATGACGAATTAACTTTATTTACCTGTCTTTTAAAAAAAGCTTTCTCTATTTGGTAGCTAAGAAAAGGTAGCCGATCTCAAACCTCTCCTGTAACAGTTTGCGGGTTGAAGTAGCTTATGAATTTTAACTTTTAATCAAATCAGTTATTAACTGCAAATAACTATAAATATTTGAGATAATTTATTAGCGCCCATGGTGTGCGGTTTTAGAAACTTTTTACATTTGTAAATGATATTTATGTTGAGAGGTGAAGTAAAGCCGGTAGAGACAAATAAATCTTATATATATATTATGCATACCTAATAAATGTTAATAAGTGAAAGTTTATAATAAAATTTAAAAATTTAAAAGGAAATTTAAAAATTTAAATGACTGGAAACAAATGTTAAAAATAAAAAGTTATTAAAAACGTTAAAAAATTTCATTTAATAATTTCTTTATAAACTATATTATTAACATTACGATAACACTTTTTTCTAAAGCAAGAAATGTTACGCGCATTTACATTATTTGTTAACTGAATTTCTTAAGTATTTTTAACCGCTGTGTCTTTTATTATATTATTAATAATATATTGGCAGCAATTAGTCAATTAATAAAAAATACTAAAAAATAACAAACGAAAAAGTACTCCATAGGATTTAAATAGTCATAAAGCCGCTCAATGTTATAACTCATTAATTTTAATAAGTTTTAAATAAAATTGTTTTGACACATGAGATTTTTTAAGTAAATAATGCGCTTATAAATAAAATATCTTTCGCATGATTTGTACAATAGCGTTACTTCAGTGTTACACTAAGAGAGAATCAGGGAATTAGTGACCTGAGTAAATATATAAATGATTGTCAAAGTTCTTATATTACGAATGGTTCCCTTCTCATTAACTCCTCTTCTTTATATTTTCTTATATTATCATTCACTACTCACCTCTCATGGAAACCATATTATCTACAACCTATAAACGGATTTATGGTCTCAGTTCCGTTCCGCAAATTATCTCAAATTATTTTTAGAAAAGTAAACATTTCTGGAATATGAAAAGATTTGAGAAAAAACTTGAGAAGCAGAATATAACATATTGATATTACTTTGGTTTAAGTCTTTGATATAATATTTTTTTAACGCTAAATAACTTTCCGAGCCAAATCTATCACTAACTTAAGTTCAAAATAATTATCTTACTAAACAATTTTGCAATAAATTACGGAGCAGATTGAGACTGTAAAACCGTTTAGTT